TTTCAATCAACGTTTTATTAATTTGTGTCGTTTTAAAACTAAATATATTGGGCATATTAAACGTTAAACAATGGTCGCATATGCTCAACGTAGTTGTATAGTCTATTTAAAAACCAGGAGGAGTAATTCGAAAAGCCTTACTCACACCACTAAAAGTAACTAAATTAGTTACTAAAGAGCGTGTTCCGAATTAGTCGCGTTCAAAATCTCTAAAATAGTTATCATTATCGGTCCGACTGGTCCTAGTCAGCGAACGGCCAATGAGAGGTCAAGACACAAATAAATATGTCTAGGAGTCAACTTTTTATTGGTCCCAGACAACGGTAGTAAATTTCTGTGATCTTGGGCAAAAACTAACTGTCAATAGTGTCAATTAATTGAAAATTGAAATTAAATATGGCTGTTGACTTTGTTGATGTTATAGGTTATCAGAAATATAAATATAAGTATATTATATATTTTTGTTAGAAAATCGACTTTTTGAGAATAACTTTAATCTTTTTGAAATGGATATTGAATATTTAAGAAAATGTTAATAGAATATTCAGATGCAAGTTAGTATAAAATATAAAAATACGATCTGTTTACATTTCAATGATAGGTACATTTATTGTAGGTATAAACTTAAGTAAAAGTTAATAAGTGGCTTGGACCTCTTTACCACACAGTACTCTTTACTCTGGATTACACAGTGACTGGAATTCCTCCCATGAGTAATATGAATATGTGGCTTATTTAGTGTTAACTTATAGTTAATACACTAAAGGGCATAGAACATAATTGGGCGATTATGTGATGTTTTTATATCAACATTTATTTGTGATTTGGCCCTAATATTAGACGTTTATATTGAATGTTTTGTTTGTTACATACATGTAATGTGTATATCGAAGTAAACGTGCTACTTCTAAGAAATCCTTCAATTCAAGGGTTTAAGAAATAAATAAATAAATGTTCAAGAATTAAGTGAGTTGTGTTTTAATAAAAAGAGTATATAGGTAGGTACTTCGGTTTTTATCAAATATATAAGATTATATTTCCTGCTAAAACATCTTTTTAAAAAATTCATAGATATGGTCCTGGTAAATAGAGTATAGTAATGACTCTGATAAGTAGAATATAGTGATTGTTTAGAATAATACACCTATACCTATGTATATCATCTAGAACTTGTGAATGTAAAAACTCTTAAAACATTTCAACATTGGTTGTGGTTTTAAAAAACTGTGTGTAAGGCTTTTATTTTAAATTTTTGTTTGGTTACTTTAACATTGAAAGTACATCACATGGGTTCAATGTTTTATGGGGAAGTAGCTGTTACATTCATAGATCGTTTTGTGCTCGCTGGGTGAAGATATTCAAAAGCTTACAGACCTATAAAGTTTATGAGTCAGGATTTGATTTTACGAGTATATTTTTTAATTTAAAGTATTTTATTTATACCTACCTATGTATTTATTGTGACAATTTTGTGAATGGTTTTGTTTTCTAATAAATAAAAATTACTTGAATATTCACTTACAGTTTAATCATTTAGGTAAATTCCTCAATTTTTAAAACTAACAAATTTGTTTTTTTGTTTAACTAGAACACCAAGAAGCAATGTTGACCAATTTATAATATGTACTACAGTGCACAGTTTTGTAAAGTTTTTTTTTTAAATGTGAATTAAAAAAACAACATGAATAGTAGTTATCTTTATTTTACAAATTTGCTATAATATTTTAATTAATAATAAGTTTGCAAAACACAAACAGAACAAATACATAAGTAGTGTCTATATAACATATTAAGTAAAAACCCAAAGTTCATCTTGACATTTACATAGAAACAAAGAAAAAACACCAAATACTCAATGTATTAATCAACATCAGACGATTCGGATTCAAAAGATTCCATTTCGTCTGAGCTTCCAGTGTTGGCAGTTATTATTAAGGGCTCTATCATGTCATCCATTATTCCATCTGATGTGTTCATTTTATCTTCTTCCTTAATCACATGTTGTACACTTATGCTAATTTGTAGGCGTTACATTTCCAATAGCTTGTAATAAAAGGCCTTTCACATCTGCTAACTTAAAAGTTGTATTTTTAGCTGCCATCTCATTCTTTATTTGTGCCCATATCAATTCTATCGGATTTAACTCGCAGTGGTATGGGGGCAATCGCAAAATAACTTTATTGGCTTCTTTTGCCATTTCATCGACAACATACAAATTATGTGCATCTTTATGTTGCCCAATTAGGTGTAAAAGTTGACACCTCTTCATATTTAAATCAAATTTAATATTTTTCATATGTAACCACTCCTGCATTTCAGCTTTTCTTGATGACGAGGAGGGAATTTTCTCAACTATGATGCATTATCCATCACAATTACAGCATCAACAGGTATTTTTGTCAAAAAAGTAAAAAACCAATTCTCAAATACTTCAGAATTCATTTATTCATGGTAATCTCCTGTCTTTTCGCCTTCGAAGACCAATAATGCATCTTTTACAAAACCTTCTTCAGAACCAGCATGTAAAATAATGAGGCGTCTTCCCTTTCCTGTCGGGCTTTTCAGGCCCATTGTTAAACCTTCAATAAATGCTTGACGTCTACTGATTACATTTTGGTCCACCCATGTTTTTCCCTTACTATGACCTTCATTAGTCCAAGTTTCATCTAAGTAAAAGATTGGCCTGTTTTCTCTTCTATATTGTTTGATCGATTGTAAATATGATAACCTCCATCTACAGATATCATCACGTTCTATTAATACACTTTGACGATTTCTTTTCAAATATCTAAAAAATATATATAATAAATAAATATTTCATTTGACTTTTCAAAGTTACAAACTTACCTAAAGTTAATAAGTTTCAAGAAAGTATATAAAGATGACCGAGATATTTGTGGCAAATCTAAACGTTTCTTCAATGCTTGTGAAATTTTATTTAATGTAGGTAATTCATTTTTTAAAAAGAAATCATGTACCAATCTTCTAACAGCATTTTTGAACCCCTCATCAAATGTTTTTAGACGTCCGGGTCTTCCACCTATATTTTTTGGACTAGATATGGTTCCACTTTTACGGTATTCTTTTAATACCCGGTAAACTGTTGACTTTACAACTCCTGTAAAAAATTTTGGGTATTTAATACCATTTTTAATTTGAAAGTAATGAGTAGGTATAACTTACCGGCGGCTTGAGAAATTTTGGATACAACATCCACAATTTTGGTTTTTGGTTTATCATCCAATAACTGTTTGTACATATTTATTATGTGCTGTTTTTCTGCGAGACTTAAATGGCCTAAACTCAAACGTTTTCGCTGTTTTGGTGGACTACGCAAGGAACTGCTATCTCTACTAGTACTCGGTGTAGAATTATCCATAATCGCAGATATTCAATACAATTGCTTACCGAAGTTCTGAAAAGAACTGTTTTTTAAAGAAATAGAGTGAAAAACTAAGTAATAATGATAAGAGATCAAACAAAAACCGAAAGCAATAACAGAACTAAAAATATAAATAAAATGTCAGAAGTGTCAATAATGTCAGTTATCAGCTGATGTTAATGCAAAAGTGATGTGTGAAACTGGCTGCAATCTGACCAATCAGAAGTCTCCAGAATTGCCAACTTAAATTCAAATCGCTCCTCCTGGTTTTTAAACAGACTATAGCAGACTAACAGATATTCATACGAAGAAATGATCTTAAATAATATTTCACAACTAAGCATACAATATAGTAAACAATGTGCAGGGTGGTATTTAGGAAATTGAGATATTAATTATTGTGCTTTGAGTAAGAGTATTCCAACCGCATTAGAGTTTTGTAAAGATGAATTAAAAATTACAGAATTTACTGGTGCAACAAATTAATGCTCGTGGATGCCACGTATTTAGCTGTCAAATAAATACGAATTGTGCAATTAGCTTGCCAGTTGAAAGTAAGAAATGAAAGAAAATTCGTAATAAAATTTTAAAATATAATAGCTGTAATATTACTCTACTTGTTAACATAAAAAAAATAAATTTTATGATAAGATGGCTATGACTGACAGGTATTGTAAGTGTTCGGTAAAAATGGTGTAGGTGTCGGTTAACTTTCTCGTGGTAGCCGGTTGAGACTGGAGCACTCTGATGGGAATGAAGACTGAGACTTCCTTAGTGTTGCTCGATTGTTTTCAGGACGGATTTTTGAGAGTCCTGGTCAGGACTTCGTCCCTAGCCGTCACCTAGCTCACGGCTCCTCTAAACTTAGGATATTCCTCGGTCTATTTTAGCTCACTAGGTCTTCTTTTGTCTCCTTTTTACACCCTCGGTTACATTTACTTGCACAAATCGCTTTGGTAATGCATGTTTTTATTGACAGTTGGCGATAAAAATTATTACTATTATTTCATTGACACTATCTTTTATAGTAATGAGTAGGGATGCATAACATGAAAAAAGTTCAAATTCATTTTTTTGTCATGGCGACATCGAACAAGAGTAACTTTTTTAAGTAAAAATCCCATAGTTTCCCATTTTAATGCGAAAAGTGACACATAAACAAATCAGGGAAATTGTCAGTTGCCATCCCCTTGTTCCGGCTGCTTTTAATTGGCCATAAAACACTTGGTATTCGTACCAAGTTAATATTTTTAAAATGGCTGAAATGTGGAGAGAAAGAGATATTTTTATTTAACTTTGTTGACCTCTTGCAGCCAAACGAAGTAAGTTGGTATATAGGTAAATTTGGTAGGTTAAATTAACTTATTTTGAGCTGATAAATCTGTACACGCAATTTCCGGACACCCTGTATTATAACGTAATAAAAATTATTTAAATTTTTTTCTTTTCATCTGAAGTTTCTTAAATAAATATAATAAATAGCAAATGTATTTAACTGTTTCTGCCGACCCATGAGGCAACCCTTAAGTTTGGCCGCCTTTGTGCCTGCACAACCTGCAAACCACTAAAAAAATGCTCTAAACTTTTAGGTTAATAGTTTCTTTGTCCAATTTTTTAGGCTTTGGACCTCTGGATGGCAGGTTGCATGATATCGGTATTTGCTGCGTTAGGAGAATTTGTAATTGTCAAAGTGCTGCATGGGAAATATAATGCAATGAAAGCTAAGGAGGCAAAATTAGCTAAAGTAAGTATAATATATAAAACACACATTCTTCATGGTGTTCTGTTTCTTATCACTGTTACTTAGCCCAGATACATACTTCATGGTCTTCTATTTGTTATTACTGTAAATTAGCCCAAACTAAATAATAATATGGCCTAATAGTTGTAGGTACCTATTTTCCTACAAACAAGCAGCATTCAATCTACAAATTTCCTACTTTCGAAGTGTTCTATTATTATTTATAATCCTATGAAAGGCATGTTGTATATCGTGGTGGTTTTTTATTGATACTCTTTAGTAAGATCCACAATATTTTTGGGATAAAAATTGTATAGATGCCGTTTTCTTATTTAGGTTAGATTTTAGGAGCATTTTCAGTATTTTGCACTATACCTAATTAATTAATTTTAATTCTCTCGAAATAAACCGAGAGAAAAAGACAATGAGAATTAAAATTCTTAGAACATTTTGATTCTCTCGAAATAAACAGAGAGGAATAGTCAATGAGTTCTCACTGGCTATAAAAAATACTGTTTCCACGTTGACGTATGACAGTTCTCATGAAAATCTTAAGAGAATTCACTTTCACTCGAGTTTTACATCTGAATCTACATTCTACCTGTACAGTGACGCGTTTAATGTATTTCTTCTGTTGAGTTTGATACCTAGGGTAAATGTGTTTTTTTTTTATTCTAGGACCCAGCTGTAATGCAATGGACTGCCCCTTCGCCAAAATCTGTACACAATTTTCGCTATAAGCACATGTCAAAAGATAGATTTATTCATTTATGTTGGAAAACGGTACATCTTTGATTTTAAAATTTGTTAAATTGAGTTTCATTATTTTTTTGCAAAATTTATGCATTGTTTTTTGCTTTTAGGAAACCGGAAAAGAAAAAATAATGTGGAAGGAAATCGATCGAATAGCTAGGATGGTTTTTCCATCGTTTTTCTTCTGTTTTTCACTTATGTACTGGATTATACTTATTTTTGGTAGCGGTTAAAATGAAATAGATATTTTTACAAACACGAGATGTTTTTTTTATATTTTAAACACCTTATACCTTAAGAAGAATGAAGATAGGTATATATATGGTAGATGTGTCCGTGGTATTTGCGCCTTACCGTACTTTTCGAGCTTACCTGCTTCTCAAGAAGGGTCAAATTAGTGACAGTTGCGTTCTATTTGTATTTACAAGTAGATGTAGGTAGGTAAACTTAATATCAATTATTAGCGGGCTATGAAAATCCTACTAATATGTAAATGCGAAAATTTGGATGAATGGATGGATGGATGTTTGTTGCTCAATCACGCAAAAACGGCTGAACGGAACTGAATGAAATTTAGCACAAAGATAGATTATACTTTTTATCCCCAAAAATGTACGGTTCCTGTGGGATAGATTTGTTTTTTTGCACAAAACAAAGGGATCGGACATGATTCTTGCATAGTGTTTTTGTGAAACATGAAAATTTGAAATACTGCTACTGAGCATAAATAAATAATAATGTGTTTCCACATTTTAAGGGAGAGAAACGGGGGTTGAAAGTTTGCATGGAAGTATCGATTTTTTTATAGGTAGGAACTTAAAAATTGGAATTATATCTACTCATCATAAATAATTATTGCTGTGTTTTAGGTTTTTGAATATTCAGTTTTTAGGAGGGTAAAGAGGGAAAATGGGTGAAAGAGAAAAAATGGGGGAAATTGGGAAAAATGGGACAATGGGGGGAAATGTGTGTGGGATGGGGCAATGTGTGTGGGAGGGACAATGTGTGTGTGTGTGAGAGGCAGTGCGTGTGTATGGGAGGGGCCAATGTGTGCGGGAGGGGGCAGTATGTGTGGGGGGCAATGTGGGGAGAAATGGTAGAAAGGTGTGGGTGGTGAAAGTTTGTATGTTAGGAACTTAAAATAGATATGTTTCATAGTATGTATTTGGAATTTTACGTATTAAGGGGGGAAAGGAGAAAAAGTTTAAATAAGATTTTCTGTTTTTTTAAAAGTAGAAACTTGAAAATTATAATTGCCAGCTACTCATAAGTAAATAATGACGTATTTTTGGATTTTTACATTTTTAGAAGGGGGAAATGTGAAGTATCGTAAAAATAACTAAAAATAAATAAATATAACAAAAAAAAATACTTAAAATTAATAAAAATAATAAAAATTAATAAAAATTAATAAAAATTAATAAAAATTAATAAAAATTAATAAAAATTAATAAAAATTAATAAAAATTAATAAAAATTAATAAAAATTAATAAAAATTAATAAAAATTAATAAAAATTAATAAAAATTAATAAAAATTAATAAAAATTAATAAAAATTAATAAAAATTAATAAAAATTAATAAAAATTAATAAAAATTAATAAAAATTAATAAAAATTAATAAAAATTAATAAAAATTAATAAAAATTAATAAAAATTAATAAAAATTAATAAAAATTAATAAAAATTAATAAAAATTAATAAAAATTAATAAAAATTAATAAAAATTAATAAAAATTAATAAAAATTAATAAAAATTAATAAAAATTAATAAAAATTAATAAAAATTAATAAAAATTAATAAAAATTAATAAAAATTAATAAAAATTAATAAAAATTAATAAAAATTAATAAAAATTAATAAAAATTAATAAAAATTAATAAAAATTAATAAAAATTAATAAAAATTAATAAAAATTAATAAAAATTAATAAAAATTAATAAAAATTAATAAAAATTAATAAAAATTAATAAAAATTAATAAAAATTAATAAAAATTAATAAAAATTAATAAAAATTAATAAAAATTAATAAAAATTAATAAAAATTAATAAAAATTAATAAAAATTAATAAAAATTAATAAAAATTAATAAAAATTAATAAAAATTAATAAAAATTAATAAAAATTAATAAAAATTAATAAAAATTAATAAAAATTAATAAAAATTAATAAAAATTAATAAAAATTAATAAAAATTAATAAAAATTAATAAAAATTAATAAAAATTAATAAAAATTAATAAAAATTAATAAAAATTAATAAAAATTAATAAAAATTAATAAAAATTAATAAAAATTAATAAAAATTAATAAAAATTAATAAAAATTAATAAAAATTAATAAAAATTAATAAAAATTAATAAAAATTAATAAAAATTAATAAAAATTAATAAAAATTAATAAAAATTAATAAAAATTAATAAAAATTAATAAAAATTAATAAAAATTAATAAAAATTAATAAAAATTAATAAAAATTAGTAAAAATTAATAAAAATTAATAAAAATTAATAAAAATTAATAAAAATTAATAAAAATTAATAAAAATTAATAAAAATTAATAAAAATTAATAAAAATTAATAAAAATTAATAAAAATTAATAAAAATTAATAAAAATTAATAAAAATTAATAAAAATTAATAAAAATTAAAAAAAATTAATAAAAATTAATAAAAATTAATAAAAATTAATAAAAATTAATAAAAATTAATAAAAATTAATAAAAATTAATAAAAATTAATAAAAATTAATAAAAATTAATAAAAATTAATAAAAATTAATAAAAATTAATAAAAATTAATAAAAATTAATAAAAATTAATAAAAATTAATAAAAATTAATAAAAATTAATAAAAATTAATAAAAATTAATAAAAATTAATAAAAATTAATAAAAATTAATAAAAATTAATAAAAATTAATAAAAATTAATAAAAATTATTAAAAATTAATAAAAATTAATAAAAATTAATAAAAATTAATAAAAATTAATAAAAATTAATAAAAATTAATAAAAATTAATAAAAATTAATAAAAATTAATAAAAATTAATAAAATTTAATAAAAATTAATAAAAATTAATAAAAATTAATAAAAATTATTAAAAATTATTAAAAATTTATAAAAATTTAAAAAAATTTAAAAAAATTTTAAAAAATTTAAAAAAATTAATAAAAATTTATAAAAATTTGTAAAAATTTATAAAAATTTGTAAAAATTTATAAAAATTTATGAAAATTTATAAAAATTTAAGTCTATATTGGTATACATATTTATATTTAGTAGTTATTATCATAGCTTTTGGTTTTTAATGCGTTAAGTTTAAATTTATTATACATTAAATAATTATTGGCAAAGTTTAGAGTCAGATTCATTTTTGTACCGCATTTACCAGATTATTATTATCATAACAAGCCATTAAAGTATCATCTGCAAATATATTTATAAAATCACAATCAACAAAGAGGTTTAAATCATTTATATACAAGATAAATAAAAGTGGCTCCAGAAGCTACCTTGGGGTACACCAATGTTAATATCCTTTTCAGCAGATATATTATTATTATTATTAACTTTTACTCTTTGTTTTCTTCCAAATAAGTAATTAGTAATCCAGAAAGAGACGTCCTCTAAATTATCAAAAGTGTGCCATTTGTCTATTTGCCTGGACGTCCATTGGCTGTCGCAAGTTTAGAAAAACTGGACGTTCAGACATCGAACATTTTTTATGGAATGGACGTCTAATGGACCTATTTTGTGCTGTCTGGGAAGCTAATCTCTCTGGAGAAGTAAATTGTACAATAACTTCAATACAAGTCATTTGTGTGTGTGTGTGTGTGTGTGTGTGTGTGTGTGTGTGTGTGTGTGTGTGTGTGTGTGTGTGTGTGTGTGTGTGTGTGTGTGCGTGTGCGTGTGCGTGTGCGTGAGCGTGGGCGTGCGCGTGCGCGTGCGCGTGCGCGTGCGTGTGCGTGTGCGTGTGCGTGTGCGTGTGCGTGTGCGTGTGCGTGTGCGTGTGCGTGTGCGTGTGCGTGTGCGTGTGTGTGTGTGTTTAAACTGAGGCTTTATTCCGGCCTGCGGTGAACTGATTAGATTTTGGTCAAAGTCGGAACATTTGGGGGGGTACTTTATGGGTGGTAATTTTTATATTTTATGAAATATATCTGTTATTTATGTTTGGAAAAGAAAAGTTACTAACAATATTATTATCTTTAATTTTTGTGCCATATAAAATTTTCCTTAAATGGACCGTATTCGAGATATTTAAGAAAATGTGTAAATTTCGAATTTTGAAGAAAACTGAAAAACGGATAAAGGAAAAAACATTAAATTTTAAACTTAGGTTTTATTTCGGCCTGAAGTGAAATAATTAGAGTTTGGACAAAGTCGGAACATCTGGGAGGTACTTTACGTTTGAAGAAGAAAATTTTTTAAATAAAAGTTACTTGCAATATTATTATCTATAATTTTTGTTTTATGTCAAATTTTCCTAAAATGGTCCGTATTCGAGAAATTTGATAAAATGTAAAAAAGATAATTTTTTATAAAAATTGTTTAAATAAAAGTTGTTTGTTTTATAATTCTCTTTAATTTTTGTTCTATACATAATTTCTCTGAAATGGACCGAATTCGAGATATTTAAGAAAATGTGTAAATTTCGAATTTTGAAGCAAACTCAAAAATGGATTAAATTTTAAACTTAAGTTTTATTTCGGCTTGAGGTAAAATGATTAGATTGTGGACGAAGTCGGAACAGCTGGGGGGGGGGGGTACTTTATGGGAGGCCGTTTTTATGTTTCATGGAATATATGTTATTTACGTTTGGAAAAAAAATTCAAATAAAAATTACTTATATTATTAATATCTAGAGAAAAATGTTTCCAGTTAGAAGTATGTGGCAAATGTATATATTTAGTTTATCCTCTAAACATTTATAAAGCTGCTGCAATAGGTTGTACAAAATAACCGGAAAAGGCCTATAATAATTAGATAGGAAAGTCATGTGTTGGACACATCAGATTTTTGAAGATAGTTTCCAGTTTTATTTTTAAAATATCAAAAATAGCGGTTTAAATTATGACTCCCATCTATCAGTTAGTTGCTCTTGTAAACTATTCTGCAGAGCAGTTTACTTAAATCAATATTTTTATACTTTCATAAGTTCTACTAGATGTCACTAACGCATTTAAAGTAGATTTCGATTTGCTTATTTTTAAGTAATCACCTCTAGATGTCACCAAGAACAAATGTGACAAATGACACTATTTTTTTTCGGTTAAGTTCGGTTAACCAAATACATATATGATATATAAATGAAAATGCCTTTTTTTGATTAATTTCCTGTTATATATAGTAATTCAAGTTTGTCTCATGGAATATTTTACAAGATAAAATACATACACTTAAAATATTTATTATTGTTTATAAAGTACTTTAGAAAATATGAAGAAACTCTGCGATAGGGGTTAAGTGGACGGTTATTGGTTGGCAAATTTCCCAATCGAAATGCTCTTAAGTGCAAGGTTAATGATTTTTGTTTCTGTACCTGAAACCCACTTGCTACTGGAGTATCAGAATTTGTAACATAAACTGCACAAAGTACATAAATAACAAAAATGTTAAATCTCAGTTCTCAGTGATACTCAAGTTTTGAAAGTTATGATAACTTTGGAATATTTACTTATTGGTTAAAAATTATCAAAACATAATAATTTGGAAAAAATCGCAAAATGGCAGATCAAATAGACAATCAACCCAGTCAAGGTATTTTGTTTATTTTTCTCTTTCAAATATATTTGGTTCTTTCTTAGTTCGTCATAGCACCTTCAATTATTTTAAGTAACACATTATAAACAAGAACATATAATACATAAAAATGTATTCCTTTCTGTAAATCTATTATTTGTTTTTGTTTTTAGACCCCAATTTTTCAAGTTGTATTTTTTAGTTTCACGAAGACCCGGCCCAAAGTCAATGGATTTTTCACAAGCAAGTAATTCTACTTTTTCTTTTCGTTCCTTATCATGTACTGACAAAGTAGGTGTAGCTTCAGCTTCTAATCGTCCAAAAATGAGTTTACCTCCTGTTGCGAAGACTAAGGAACCTCCAATAGTTATACGGTAATATTTAATTAGTACATACTTATCTAACGTTTTTAATTCATTTAATTTTTAATCAGGATTTAATTCAAGCAATTGTGTACATTAAAAAGAGGATTTAAATCTTACTCAGCTATTTTTAACCTTTTTGTTTAATGATACGAAAATAAATTATCATTAACATAAACACATAAAAAATATTTTTAAACTTGAACAATTCAAGCTACAAGAATTGAGGGCAACTGATGTAAACATATTGTTTTCAAGATGGGATTGATTAAATAGTTTCAAAAAACTATCAATATTATAGGCTCCAAAAACTAAGTAGATGCATTCTATGGAAATTCTAAAATACATTTTTATTTATATATAACCGGGACATTCCCCTTTTAGTTAAATACAATGTTATGTATAGCATTACACAGTATAATTTCGAATAATAAAATAAAGTTACAAATTAAATAATACAAACAATAGTTAAAATAGATAAAATACAAATAATACTACAGTACAGTTAATAAAGTACATTTATAAAAAATAAGTAAAAATACACCTTCAATAAATACCATTACACTAAACTGCACCCCAAGAGTCTCCATAAATGAGCTGACAGAGCTAAAGAAATAGAGGTCAGCACGGTAGGTATTTGTGAACCTAGCAGAACGAACAATGAAGGTATTACGTCCATAATTCGTCCTGTGGAAGGGTATTTGAAAAATGTTCGCTGAGCAGGTTGTCCTGGGTGGGATGTGAATTCCTATCTCTTGCAACAATTGAGGACACAGTACTCGAGAATTAAATATGTTATATAACATTATGAGATCTGTTTTGTTTCGACGGCTGTTAATAGATTGGATATTCAAATCTGTCTTCAATTTAGAGTAGTTGATATCTTCGACTCCAATACCCTGCTTAAAGGCCACATAACATAAGAACTTATGCTGGACTCTTTCTAATTTAACAATATGTGAGACATAGTTATGAAGCGTATTCTAAATGGGTTCTGACTAAAGAACAATATAAGATTTTAAGTGTGTTGATGTTTGTGAAATCCTGAGTAGTTCTTTTTAGAAATCCTAACATATGTAGAGATTTGTTGATAATATTTTAAATTTATTTATTTATCAATGAGCAATTGCCCAATTAAAATACAGTTCAATAAAAGGGAAAATTTAAAACCTAACCTACACTTAGAGAATGTTAAAACAAAGAAATACACATTAGCATAAAATTAACATAACCAAGAAGAAATTAAATATTATAAAAAAACAAACAGGATAACAATTGTAAATAAGTTAAATTATCTAGACATCAAACTTTCACATGCATGATTTAAGCTGGGATTTAAATACTTTTTTATTATCAAAGCAGTCCAATCTATGAGAATATTGATTAGCAAATCTACCCGATCTTGATAGAAAAGAATTATGTCCATAGTTAGTCCGATGTTGTCTAATATTAAAGGGTTGAATAAGCCTTGTTTGTCTCGAAGGAACATGAATATTGATTTTTCCCAATAACTCTGGACTAAAGCTATGCGAGTGTAGTATATTGTAGAATGTGGTAAGGTCCTTGTGCATGAGTCTGATCTGAAGAGTGGTAATATTAAGGGAACTCTGTGGAACAAAAGATAGTTGTGAATCAAAGTTGACCTCTAGATCTCTAATAATGTTGCAGTTCTCCAGGATATTGGCACTGATTGTATATTGAAAATGAATTGTATCACGAGTTCGATGGAATATGATAACATTACATTTATCCGAATTTAGGCTCATTCCATTTAAGTCACACCAATTGACTAAGTTTTCTAAATCAGACTGCAGTGACATAAAGTGAAGGTCAGATGATACTGTAGAGTACAGTTTGAGATCATCTGCAAATAAAAGGAATTTACCAAAATGAAAACAGGATTTAATATCGTTTACAAATATATTAAAAAGTAGTGGTCCTAGATGTGAGCCCTGCGGGACGCCTGAAGGTACGTGTATGCCGTATGACTTGTAGTTTGAAATATGTACAATTTGACGTCTATCAATTAAATAGCTTTCTAACCTATTTAAAAGTGATCCATATACCCCAGCCATTTTCAATTTGTGGATTAAAAATCTATGGTTTACCCACTACCAAAACAAAGGCAACATCGCATGTAGTATTTACATTTTCTTATCAAATCGCGGGTGTAAAACTCGAAAATTATGATTTAAAAAATAACAAAAACCATCTTAAATGACAATTTAAACATTTAAATCCCTGTGAAAGTGAAAGCAGAACGTGAAACAGTGAAATATCACAAAAACCAGTAATGAAACATGTGGTTTCTAGCCTAAATGTCCAATTTATGGTTAACAACGTTGCCACGTCTGTAAAATTTTCCATCAAGTGAAATAGTTATTTTGTTAAAATCATGTCAAAGTGTTGGATATGCAAAGCAACGGAGAGCGACATACAAATTTGGAATTGTGACCGATGCAATGAAAAAATTTGTCAAACTTGTTCCCAATTAACTGCATCTGAAATCCGGTGTATGGAACTGAAGAAAAACAGAAAACTCAATTTTCTATGTTGCAATTGTGAAAAGAAGAATTCTGATAAACCTGATATCAATTTACAATCTTTATTGAATGCCTTCAAAGATGATATAATAAAAGAAGTGACAAACAACATAATTAAAGAATATGAGAAAACTATGGAACAACAAGTTCAAAAAATAGAAGAATTAACAAAGAAATAAAAAACATTAAATTAACAACAAATCACAACAGTCAAATACAAGAATCAGTTATTGGTAATATGAATAATAAAAACAAAGTTGAAAACACAACTGAAAATAGACAAATCAACAGCTACGCATCCGTTTCTGGAAGGGAATCAAATCAACAAAATGAGTACAAACAAATACCAAATATCTCAGTTACAAAAACAAATGCAAGTAACTCACTTAAGTCAAAACAACGTACTCAGGGACATTTACAAAACAAATATCTACAAAGTCCAAATTCCATAGGAAACAGTAATGGTAATATAACTCCCTCTAGAAATACAACAAACAATCTCATGGCGGACCAAGCTGAACAAATGACCAATATTATAAATATAAATAATGATGAGGGTGACAATTTCAAATTGGTAACTAAAAGAAATAGAAAACGTAAAATGGGAAGTGGTATGGGAGAAGGTGCTTTCCAGGGAAAAAATTAATCTTTAAGAAAGATATGGCTTTTTTTAACAAGAGTTCCTGAGACTGTTAAAGAAAGTGACATAAAAGCGTTTATACATAAAAAAACTAAAGAGATACACCAAACTAGCATTGAAGGTATAGAAGTGACAAAATTACATACAATCACAACAAAAAACAATAATCAGTCCTTTATGATTGGTGTAAATCCATGTCTGCAAGAAGATGTATATCAGTCAAATTTCTGGCCAAGAAAAATTGCATATGAAAGATTTGATTTTAGAAGAGGACAAAGATTTCTAAACTCCCAAAAGTCAGACCTAGAAGCTAGCCAACAAGGTTCGTTTTTAGATGGATATTGACAGAAAACAACACCAACAACAGTTTTGAGAAGACAAAGGTGGAAACTAACATTAGCATACCAGAAATTCAGGGAAAACAAGTCATAAAAATAAAACCAGTAGCTTTAAATCTAAATTGTATGCATATTAACATACAAGGTGGTCTTGCTAAAAAATGCTTTGAAATGAACCTAATATTACAGAAAGAAAATATAAGTATCCTATGTGTAACTGAACACTGGCTTAATTCCAATTACTTGCAGGTGAGTTGTATTGAAAACTTTACATTAGTGTCACATTTCTCACGAACTAGAAAAGAGAGAGGGGGAGTTTGTACATTTATTAGTTCCGACTTATTAGCTACCATACACTATGAACCTATAAATTTAAAAAAATGGTCTATTGAAGGTGATTTTGAGGTATGTGGTGTAAAAGTAAAATTAAATTTAAAACAATTTCTATATATTATTACCGTTTACAGACCTCCGGATTATGCTAATTTTGGGGGAAATTTCTGAGCGATAAATTTGTACTGTTATCCCGATCAAAACATTACACAGTAATCAATAAATTAAGCAGATTAACTACTCTATGCTTAACTTCATCCTTTTGGAAAAAGAAAAAACTGCCATTATTAGTTGACAGTTTTATTTCTACTTCAGATGTCAGTAATAATCTACCAGTTTCAAATGGCGTACCGCTGTGGTCCAATCCATATCTGTCTCTTATTATGCCAGTTAATAGTTATATTAATAATAAATTCGACGTTGACAACCCTTTACTAATAAAGACAAATTTTTATGAAGAATTAAATACAAAATGGAAACATTATGAAACACTTTACACCGATGGTTCTAAATTAAATAATCAAGTAGGTTACGCTTTATATTATCCCAATAAAGAGATTCAAATTTTAAAACGTTTGCCAAATTGTATGTCAGTTTATAGTGCAGAAATATTAGCAATTAGAGAAGCCTTTTCGTTATGCCTAAATCAAGAGGAATTAAATTTTGTCATTTTCACAGACTGCAAAAGTTTAGTTCAAAAGTTTCAAAATTTTAATTTCAATTCTAAAGTTAATTACATAATTCTGGACATTTTAAAACTAAATTTTGAGGCAAGAAATCAGGATAAACTAATATACATATCTTGGGTCAAAGCCCATATGGGAATACCTAATAATGAAAAAGTAGACTTTTTGGCTAAAACTGCAACAAAACTTAATTACATAAGTAATTTTAAAATACCCCTATCCGATCTAAATACTTGTTTCAAATATAAAAGGGATCAAAATTGGCAAGCAAAATATGTAGAGAAGGAGACAGGTAATTTTTATAAATCTATTCAACCTAATATAAGGGTAAAACCGTGGTTTGATAAGCTGTCAAATAGACCACTAATCCAAACGATTAGCAGAATTAGAACTAATCATGCTTTATACCCTCAATATATGAAGCGAATAGGTCTAATAGATAATGATTTGTGTATTTGTGATGAGATTGCTG